AAATCCTTGGTGAATATTTTTTTAGCATGATTATGACTCAGGAAATACTAAACATGTTCTAGAAACACAAGAAAATACTGTGATATCATTTAGTTTTCCATTCAAATTATTAATAGTGACCAATCGCCCATAAAAATTACACATATATTACAAATGCAAATTTTGTTTGCTTAATCTTCTACAGATGATTTTGTTATATCATACAGAGAAAATCACCATTTACTTTTGGGGGAAGTTGAATGTTTTATTGCTTTACAGGAAATGCATACATCAAACTAATTTTCTATAAAAATAACAGTTAATAAATATACAAGACCGACCATGCTAAAGTACACTTTCGCCTCCAACAGATATGAATCGACTAAAAAGACAATGAGTTTGTCTTTATGATATACAACGATTGCTGCTTTAATCGTTTTCAAGAATATAAGTCAACATACTGTCGGTACAATAGAAACTGGTTGCTAAAGCCGCCATAGAGCGGCCGAGAGGCCGTGATCCATTTGGTTTCACAATCATTGGCCAATATTTAAAAATACAAACTATAATACTCTATTTTCAAATTCCAAGCAAGGAGGGTGGTTGGATTAGTGCTAAACACGAACCAAAATATCTTTTCATGGTTTGAGTAAAATCTTGTCGTAAAACTGATTATGGTTCTCTAAAGCAAATAAATACAATTATGGTATCTTTGAAGATACCTTTACAATCAACAAAATTAGCAAGTCTCCTTAGCAATTCTAAGCAACTTACCACAACATTAAAAGTAACAAACTAATTGTTATTTGTTCTAAACTTTCCATGGTACATGAAATTCAAGTTGTAGTCTTCTGCAGAAGAAGAAAAGAAACACGAGTAGAGAAACAAATTTTGTGAAATACCACTATTGAATTAGAACCTTGCGAATGGGACAAGTAAATCAGAAAATGGACTTACTACCGGATATTGTATGAAGATATTTAAAATCTTTAGGTGAGCAAAAGTCTATAACTATAACAATATATACACCAGGCCTTAAAAGCTTCATCGACCTACCTGCATAAGTTACAAAATCAATCAATTATTATATACATATTTCAGTGGCGTCTTAAAACGTCAGAAAAAAACATCATCTCACCATATTTGCAGTAAACTATAATTTATGGAGTCTATCTGGATAAGATTCTTAAGGGTTTCACGAAAAGGGAAAATGTATGAAGAGATATATAAAAGGAAGAAACTCATATGTAGGTTGAACATAACTTGAAAACTTCTTTCTGTTATCTTAACTGCAGTTTAGTTGTTTAAAGACGGAAAATAAATAAAAACGAGATATACATACGTGTATAATCATTAAGATGTCTTAATTGCTCAAAACGTAAATTTAAACTTAACTGATAGTTGTTTAGTGCACAAGATTTGTAAAACTTAAACCTTTTTACATTCTTAAATCCAAATGGAGGAACAATAAAACAAGCACATCTGATACACTTTCTACTTCCAATGAAGCACACTTGCAATATCTATTCTATGTGGATGCTAAATAAAATTTCGGGTATCAAAGCTAATATGAAGCGGGGTAAGACCTTTGGATGGTTTTCGATGCTCAAGCTCTCAAGGAGCTCAAGTCCTTAAACATTAAAACTGCAATGCTCATGGGAGATAAGCGAGATGTAGCAATTTATGTTCAAGAACATGTGAAACATAGTCATTATCTTATTATTCCCATGTCTCTTTATTAGTAGTAACTTAATCATTTTTTGCAGCTAGGGAATGCTTTGGATATAGTTCACGCATAACTTCTTCCACAATAAAAAGAAAGAACCATTGATGAGTTCAAAAGCCAAGGACATACAATGATTGTAGGAGACATGCTTAACGATGCACCAGCCTTAGCTAAATCAAACTTTGGTATTCAGATGGGGGATCTCAGGGTCAACTCTTACGACATAGACATGGGATATTATTCTTATGTCAAACAAGATACCTAAGGGGATGAAACTAGCAAGGAGAAGTCATAGGAAAGTGATTGAGAAATTTTTTTTCTGTGAGCATAAAAGGAGCAACCATGGTGTTTGGTTTGGTAGGTTACCAACTGACTTGGGTAGCTGTTCTTGCAGATGTAAGAACTTGTTTGCTTGTGATATTCAATAGTATGGTGCTTATACGCAATGAGTGAAGTTGCACATGTATGTTACCGTGCTTCTCCTTCTTCCTCTCCTTCATCACATGAGGGCAATCAACAAAGCTAAAAATCGTCTTCTGATTTAGAGGGTTTCTATCTTAGTAGCTAGCAAGCTCTGGTTGGTGTCCTACCATATTATTTGAACCGAATTTCGAAGTCCTTTTAATTAGTTTAACAACAATTACAAAGTTAGATTAAGTTAAAGTTCTCTTTCCACAAAAATAAGATATATAGTTAACTTACATTTCAAACGCAATTATCATGTTAACTAGACTAAGATTGGAATATGTTATATGCCTATACTCACCTACAAACATGAAAATTTTACGGTCCAGTATTTTAATGATTATCATCTTGATTTGAATATAGCTTCTCAGTATACGAACAAAAAATTCCCATGAATCACTTTTAATTTATATGATTCGGTAAGTAATATATACTGCAGAATGGAATGTTTTGTAAATTTTATACGCTGAAGTATTTGGAAACGAGTCTGAATCTCTCATACAGGGCGGGCCTGGCATAAAGCGGAGCAAGATTATAATAAGCACTTTTTGTTATTTTATTTTGAACTGTACTTTTGGATGGGCTATAAACATTTTGTTTATACTTTAGGCAGCCCACTGTACTGGACAGCCCATTGTACTGGACCAGCGCTGCTCTCAGATGCCTTTTATTTTCTTGGAAACCGATGTTACTTGGTTTTTTCAAAGGGTTGGTTGATAGTTTAACATAACTCAGATTCCGTCCAAAAACATTCGGGGGAAAGACGCAGGAAAAAGTTTATGATGATAAAAGAAAATGAGCGATGTGTAGTGTGAGTCTAATGACCGATGGATAAATCGATGGATCATATACGTACAAGCAACTAAGCGAGGACCCTATTACAAATCATTGTGTCTTTAATGAGTGCTAAACCCCACATTACATTATTTGCTATGGTGAGTGTAACATTTAACGTTTGACTAAAATGAATTGTCACCACCAAGAAGAGGTATATATTGATACTTATGGTTCATATTGGTAGCCATTATAGTATCTTGTCTTTTATCACCTGGTTATAAAGTTGATATTGAATTAACGTTAGATTTTGGGATCGAATTTAGTGTTCTATTAAGTTTTCTCAATCTATTAAATGATAATCTCTCATGCATGATCTTGAGATTGTTAACGTATAGATAATTTATCGTATATAATATCTTAGTATGTAGTAATTTTAAGACTTCTTCATATTTCTAAGTCGACTCAATATTTTAATTTGCTCACTTCGATCGTCTTCTTTTTAATGGTAATTATATATTTGGATTCGTTATACAATAGTGTTTAGAATCCGTTTGCAATCCTTTCTCATTGTATGATATTGTGAGCTGCTGCTGAGTCATTTACAATTACAATGCACTTACAAATTACAACTATTGTCTTAGATGCTTTAATGTTTGTTTTTTCGTTTTACAACATATTTAATTTTGGTTATGATTTGAACTTATATCATAGCAGGTAATTAATTTGGGGGGCACTAATATTGCTGGGTAAGGGCTATAGAAACATTTAGAAATTTGAAGGAAATTGGCAACTTTTTGAATCGATAGATTATGACATGCATCAATTCACAAACCGAATATTCCTGGTATATTCATTATCAAGAATATCATAAACAGTTCTTTTGTAATAATTCGCAATTTACTTTTAGCAATCTTATTTGCCAATATTATACTCTAGCACTCCTATTTTTGATGATATGCCGAATCATATATTACTATTATTACCAGAGCCGGGCTTAAATAGATGATTATAAAACATTTGATTGGGGCATCCACCTTGTGGGACCCTCAGTTTACAATATTTTTTTTCAAAAGCTATTTATTCTATACATATTCATATAGTTATATAATGCAAATGTAAAATAAAAAGTAAAAGATATTTTTATTCTTCATAAATTTAATAGAAAATAATTGATTTTATGTTATTTTGATTTTAAAATGATTAAAACTACAATAAAAATATATTATTTTCAGAATAATTAAAACTAATAATTATTTTATTTAAATAAAATATATAATTCAACTAAACTTTTAGTTTTAAATAAAAACAAAATATATTTTTAATTTTTGAATAGGACCTCCAAAATTTCAGGACCGATTCTGATTATTACATATACTATTTGGTTTCACCTTTAAGATATGAATTCATTTGGAACGTAATGAAGTGTAAATCACAAAAATAATATATGCATAGTAGGGTATATATATAAAATATATGTAATAAATAGTCACTATTGTATTATATATCATGTACCCAAATGTTATCCCATTGTTAGAAGTTGGAACCATTTTAACTTGGCTTCTTTAGAGCATCCACAATGGTGGACTCCATTGTGGAGTCCTTAAGCAATATAATAGTATTTTTTGTTTTTATTTTTTGTTTTTTGAATAGTTAAGGATTTTAAACAAAAATTCAGTCCAATGGTGGATTCCATTTAGGAGTCCTTAGGAATTTTTTTTTTTTTGATTGTTAAACATGAGAAATTTTAAGTGACAAGCTAACTAACACAAGAGTTTGAATAAAAGAACATGGCCAGTTCCTATTTGAAACACAAAGACTGACGGCATCATGAATCATGATAAAAAAATAACTTCTAACACATGGTAAGTTGGTAAGCAAAAGAAAAAAACTTGCCTTGACAAAAAGCCTCTTGTCGTGTCATGTTGCAGCAACCCTGAGAACGGCCTCTGCTGCACCAAATTAAGTTTGATGCTCCAGAAAAGTTTCCTCGGACCACATACCATGAAGTTGTCGGTTCTAGTTGAACCTGAAACTACAACATTAAGTTTCTTCTTCAGCCATCTCTAAACAGAGCATAAAAGATAAAGATAATAAATCTAACACAGAGAAACTCACTATTCTCCTTCCAAATCTCTCCATTAGTGTACACCTCCTTCTTCCATATCGGAACGGTCGCCTTGAGCTCATCGATCAAGAACTTGCAAGCATCTAAACCATCAGCACGGTGAACAGATGAGACAGCAATGAAGACCCTGGTTTCTCCAACAGGAACTGGTCCTAGATGATGAGCAACAGCAATCTTATGGATGTCCCAGTTTGATCTAGCGGATGTACAGATGGAGCTGAGGCATCGTGTGGCCATTGGTACATATAGCACCAGCTTGAGGGGCACTGACATAGTTAATGTACTTAACTATATCGACTTTGTGACCTTCCTCCAAGATTTCTATAAGGTTCTTCTCATCAGATGACATCTTTGGAAGCTTTTGTGAAGTGTGTTAAGCCTCAAAATAATTGATGTTCCGTGTAGACCAAAGCGAGCTTAACAGATGATCCAATTGTAAAGTATAACCTACAGCTACAGATAAAGAAAATCAACAACGCGATTACTTATCATTAGTAAACTACTAATCAAACTGGCTTAGTAAAGAGGTAACAGAGAGGAAAAGACCTATGAACACACTACAAACTTAAATCGACAAACTAGTCAAGTCTTATCGAAACATAATACAACTTACACACAAACAAGAAAAGAGTATCCTTTGTTGTTTTTGGTTTTCAGAGTTGAATTGAATGAAAGAGATGAACAGAAACATAGAGATAACGACAAACAAAAAATCGTTTCTGTTTTAACGCACTGAAAGTAGTATTCAACCTGCAACGAATCAGAGAGACTTGATTCAGACCCTAACCCCTTATAGCTAGCTTAAAGGCCTGAGAGAGAGATAGAAAAGGAATCAAAACCCCCTTACCTGTCTAATGATCTTCTTCTTAATTCATCCTCGGGAACAACATCATCGGTATCTCCATGATCTTGATTTCGATCCTCGCCATGGTCTAAATCATCATCGCTATCATCGTCTTTTCCATGTTCCAGAGAGAAGAGGAAGAGAGCGTCGAAGAAAAAAGAGAAAAAGAGGCGTTTTTCCTTTGCCACGTCAACAAGGACTTGTCCTTTAGAATCCTTGATTAAGGATTAATCCTTAGCCTTTCTAATTTATTTAATATTTTTTATTCCCCAAAACCTAAGGATTATCCTAAGGATTCATTAAAAACCTGCGTTGCAGGTGGTCTTACAATACTTAGAGGTGCCGACCAAATCGACCATGCTATCTCAACTCTCTAAATCATACTATACGAATGTTTTTTTTAACTCTTTATATGAATATGTTTTAAGATATTTTTTATATCCTGTATTTTGAATACAAGAAGTCATATGAAAGTATTACTTAAAACGTTATACAACTGACGTCTAGTCTCACGGATGCTCGATTCGAAACCCATATACGTAACATTTTGTTTATTTGGAGAGTAAATTTGCAAAACAAAACCAATTGGAGAGTTTTTTTTATAGAAAGCCAAATACTTATTGCAGTTGCTATATTTGTCAAAAGACAACAAAATTGCATGGGAATTGGGAGATGAAGCTGTATGGCTATAGAGTATATGCATATATTGATATTAGTTATGTACAGTTCGATTCTTACGTACTAATGTGGCCTGCTGACTTATGTCCACTAATTTCATTGTGTTCCATTTTTATGTCTTGTGGTAATTATACACTTGTGTTATGCTTTTATCATTCTTTTTTTTCGTCGACTCGTGAGTTATAATATAAGTACTTTCTAATTTGATTAATGTTCTTATCAGTGGTATGACTCATGAGAAGAAGATAAATCATGCGAAAAGGATGATTAATGGATAATGAGAGTCTATCAAACATCCGCAAATGTTTCTGGTCTCCTTGATTTTACATAAATCTATCTCCTCAGTCGTTGAATGTACGTTCGTTAATACATATGTTGCACCAAGTAAGAGATTAATTGCAAAAAAAAATTGTTGGGTATCTGTCTAGGTCATAGCATGCATTTTTAGTATCGTATGTCAAGACGCGAGAGCATGGTTAAGTTTTGACCCTATTAAAATGATAAGTACGCATTAATATTTATTTATTTTAATTTTTAGAGAAAAAGATTGGATATATGCGAGTATATTTTATAGAATTAAGCTTGCGAATAATTTTTTTTATATATTTTTGAATAATATTTTTGGCTTTTTCGTATCTACTTGATTTATTTTTCTTAAAAAACTATAATATTTAGTAATAAGACATATCCGTCAAGGCATCAACATTCTGAAATCCAATAGATCTCCGAATTAGTGCATCACTAACACATATCCACTACTATTATAATTCTTATTCGCAAACTAAACTTTTAAAAAACTGATAAACCTAAAATTTCAAAAGCTCGTATTGAGGGTAACTTGTAAAATAAGGGTATTACTTCAATCTAAAACTGAGTTCTTACATTTTGGAAAGGAAAAAAAAGAGATGTATATATAGGTCAATTCTTATCAAACGCGAAATAGTTTGGGAAGTTCATTCATAGAAACAAATTCACTGAATTATTTAGAGAATCCGCTACCTATGGATGTGACTTTTCTAATTTTTGTTTCATGGCATAATTAAATATAACAGTTATAATATAAAATATATAAAGGTAAAGTTTACTATTTGGGGAAAAAAGTTCCGAAGATTCGGGAATTAATATTAAATGTATCAGGTGGTATAACAAATATAAGAAGAACGACTTATCGAAACACAAAGAAGGACATCTATCATTGCAGTTCATATTTCAACTATATTCCCTGTACCACTAGACGTTGGTTTATAATATCTGTTTAGTGTTCGGCTCATTTACATTGTCTTTTACTTTGATAAATATGTTTATTAAAAGGAAAGTGATTTTGTTTTGTTTTGAAACATTGGTAGATTCCTCCACTACTCCAAAACTTTTTGGAAAGATAGTGGAATTGTGCTGCTTAAATTATTTCTGGTCTTCTTTAAAAAAGTATATATATATTTCTGGTCTTCTTTTACGCAAAATACTGCTTTAGTCTTTATGATCTCAAAGGGACACATATATAACTTTCAAATATAAAAATAAATGTGGGAAAGAGGTTTTAGGCCATAAGGAGTTAAGGACTAAGGAGGGTAAACACTTTGGCCATCTTCGGTTGTTCAATGGTGAAAGTTTCAACAGCGTTATACAATTAGGATGCTCCGACCGTTTTTTACATGTTCGGTTCTATAATTGATTTTTTTTTCTCATATAAATCGTGGCTCTATTATATCTTCGATTTGACAAACATTATAAGTACTACATGTGAATTGAATATAGGTGATACTTATTAAAGTAGATGGATTTTAAACCTAAAACCAATTTCAAATAAATGGATTGATTTGTTTTACTTTTTAGAGAGAAATTGGATATATGCGAGTATTTTTTATTAAGCTTGAGAATAATACATTTTTGACTTTTTCCTATCTACTTGATTTATTTTTCTTTCAAACCTATAATATTCAGTTATAAGACATATATCCGTCAAGGCATCAACATTGTGTAATCCAATAGATCTACGAAGTAGTGCATCACTAACACATATCCACCACTATTATAATTCCTATTCGCAAACTACACTTTAAAAAAACTGATAAACCTAAAATTTGAAAAGCTCGTATTGAGGGTAACTTGTAAGTTGTAAAATAAGGTACTACTTCAATCTTATAAACTGAGTTCTTACATTTTTGAAAGGAAAACAAAGAGATGTATATATAGTTTCTTTGAACATCTCTATCTTCATTCCATAATTTACTCTATTTTACTTAAAAATAGAGTGAGAAACAAAGTGATTAGTAAAAAATAGGATTATTAACATAAAAACCCCTCAACTAAGTTTGTTTTGGGTAAAAACCTCTAAACTAAGTATTTAATGAAAAAACCCCCAATATAATTTTATTTAGTGAATTAAACCCTCAGCGGTCATAATTACCAGTACTACCGGTAAATCTTCAGTTTATAGGTTTTATCATTAAACATAAAAATCAATAAAATTCAAAATATAATAACATTATCTAAAAATTTGTAATTTTAATTTTAAAAACTAGCATTTTAAAAAAAAATTGTAACTATATGAGTCTGATTTGTTATCCTTTTAAAATCAAAATTATATATGTATAAATTTAAAATGTAAGAACCAAGAAAATATAAGAAAAAATTATCTAACGATTTACCTGTAATAAAAATTATCAAAATTTATAAATATAAAAACAAGAAAACAGAATAGAAATTATATCTTATTTAATAAAAATGTAATAATAAATCTTTAGATGCTTTTTATTATATTTTGATGTTTTAAAATTTTAATCTATATATATAATATTGATGTTAAAACAAATCAAGCTCATATATTTACAGAAAGTTTGCAAATGCTAATTTTAAAAATTTAAGTTACTAATTTTTAGATAATGTTATAATTTTTTTTTAGATTTTTAATGATAAAAACCCTTCAACTATGTTTAATATGGGGGTTTACTTGTTAGTTTGGGGGTTTTTACCCAAAACAAACTTAGTTGAGGGGTTTTTATGTTAAAAATCCATTTTACAAGGATAAGAAATCATTCATATATTTACAGAAATTTTTAAAATGCTAGTTTTGAAAATTAAAATTACGAACTTTTAGATAATGTTATTATATTTTGATTTTTTTCTTTTTTTTGAATTTTTATGTTTAATGATAAAACCTCTAAACTAAAGATTTACCAGTAGTACTGGTAATTATGACCGGCGAGGGTTTAATTTATTAAATAAAGTTAGTTTGGGGTTTTTTTCCATTAAATACTTAGTTTAGGGGTTTTTACTCAAAACAAACTTAGTTGAGGGGTTTTTATGTTAAAAATCCTAAAAAATAAAAACATTACTCTATTTACAGAATAATATTTTATTTTTTGTTTATCATTTCATTTTCTATTTTATTTTTAATAAAATAGAATATATTATGGAGTGGTGATACAAATGTTCTTATCAAACGCGAAATAGTTTGGGAAGTTCATTCAAAGAAACAAATTCACTGAATTATTTAGAGAATCCGTTACCTATGTATGTCACTTTAATTTTTATTTCATGGCATAAATTATTTCTAATCATTAGCAACAATATATAACAGTTATAACTAAATAATATATAAAGGTAAAGTTACTATTTTGGGGAAAAGTTCCGAAGATTCGGGAATTAATATTTTAATGTATCAGGTGGTAGAACAAATATAAGAAGAACGACTTATCGAAACACAAAAGAAGGATATCTATCATTGCAGTTCACATTTCAATTATATTCC